GCGTCTCGTGGATCTCCGTTCGCGTGGGGTTGCCCCTTGGTGATTTGGCGGCGCGTCCTTCCCCGTCCTCGGTGTCTTCTGACGCAGGTCGGTGGCGCCCCTTGTCTCCTGCCGCGCGGCTGAGGGCGCGGTCGCCCCCGGCACCCGTGATGTCCCAGGCTGAGCTGCTTGCCCTGGCGGAGCTGTCTCTCGCGCTCCGAACCTCCCGGGTGGCAGCTCGATCGATGGTCTTCGAGTACGGGGTCCAGGCGTCGCTCTTTGGGGGCGAGTTCTTAAAGGCGTTAAGGGGGGTCGAAGAGGTCCTCCTCCTCGCCTTCATCCGCCGCCGGTGTCGGGCTAGCAACCGGGCTCGAGTCCTTGGCTGTGTCTGACTCGCTCCTCGCGTCCTCGCCCCAGTCGGGGGCATCCGGTTCGCCCTCAGCCTTGCCTGTCTGGTTGGTAGGGCCGAGTCCTTCCGCTGGGGGGTCGCTGGCCCCGTCGTCGCCTGGGGCATGGGGGTCTGCTCTGGAGGGGCAGCCTGGAGCAGCATCCCGCTCTGGGCCGTGAGTGTCTGCTGGGGGGGTGTCTGCTGCCTCGCTTGCTCTGTTCAGCCAGGATGCCGCTGGAGAGTCGGCTGCAGTTAAGCAGTCCGCTCCTGTCTCGAGTGGGTCTCGGTTGGCGAGCTCTCTGGCGGTGCCGTCGGCGAGGGCAGTGGGATCCATCCCCATTAGGTATGTCAATAGGGTGCTGAGCCGCCGGCGGAGCGGGCGCCCCGCTGTTCAGCTGCGTCGGCAGCGTACCTGCGCCACCTGGCCTCGTGCATCCCGTTGGCTCTCGTTAGGTGATGCACTACTCGTGCCGCCGCGGCCCGCCGGCCGCCCCATGGGATGCTGGGGGGGCGGCAGTTGTCGGGGATCGTCCCTCCGTAGATTTTGACCAGGAACTGGCGAAGATACCCTGGGGGCCACGATCCTTCGTCGGTCTTATCGTCCGGTACTCCGTCGCCGCAATGCACCGCGCACTCCATCCGTTGCCCGTAGATGGCGGGGTTCCACTCCAGCAGGTATTTGACCAAGGAGCGCATGGCACCGTCTGATTCCTTTCCTGTGAGCCTGGAAGCGGAATGGGCTGGTAGGGCGGGCCCCGCCGGCGGGGAGATGTCGGGGAACAGGGATTTGATGTCCCGTGCGGCGTTCCCTGACCCGTTGCTCTCCCCGGCTGTGCTTCCGTGGTCAGCGCTGTCGGGGGGGTCGGCGCCCCGGCTGCGACGGGCTGCCCTGCGCGCGCATCCTTGGCGGCAGCGTTGGCGCAGTCCGGGGCGAGGTAGACGCTGATGTCGTGGCTCTCCGTCTGCGCTTCTGTAGCTGCTCGCTTGGCTGGCGCCGCGGGGCGTGCGCGGGGGGAGCGTTGGTCCAGCATGCGGTCGAGGGTGCCTGGGGCCACGTTCCAAATGCGGATGAGGCGCCGTCTGCGCGCCCAGCCGGCGTTCCACTGCTGCTGGGCCCAGAGGGTGGGCATAAGGTCCCAGGGAGGTAGCCCGGTCTCGGTGACGGCGGGTGCTTCGGGCTCTGGGCCCCACAGAAAGCAGTCTAGTGCTGGGCTGGTTACCGACCATTCCAGCAAGGGTGATCCTGCCGGGCAGGTGTCGCATTCGGCAGAGTAGGCGTCCGTGCGGTGCGAGTCGAGCCCGAACCTTCCGTCAGAGAGCTTGTGAGCTGGTAGAGTGGCGCCGATGGCCTAGGGCCTGTAGGCTGCGGGGGCTCTCATGACTAAGTCGCACAGGCTGGTGGGGGTCTGCGCCGTGTCGAAGCGGCCGTGTCCAATCGGAAGTCGATGCAGGGACGGGAGTGTGCGCGTTCTTCTTATAACGCGCCTCGTCCAATGTGCGCTTGTGCGTCTGCAGACGCTGCGGAAGTGATTTCTTGTTGCCGCAATCGCATGCGGCGAGGGGGGCGTCGATGCCTCTCTTTTCCAAAGACTTGACCCAGCACTGCTCGCAGAGCCACTTGCAGTTCTTGCCTTGCAAGTACGCCTGGGAGCGGTTTTGTGCGAGGAGTTCCCTTGTGTCGTCGTCCTCCCAGGTGCCGGCTGTGCCCCTGGCCTCTGTCTTGGGACAGTCATCTCCGTCGCAGTCGAAGCAGCCGCCCCCCTGATCGATGTGGAACAGGTCGTCGCACACCCTTGGCGGGATAAGTAGGGCCCCGGGGGCTGGGGGGCCGGGGGGGTCTTCGTCGAGGCGCCTGTTGGACATGGCGATTCCACCTCCGATACACTCCAGGTCTGCAATTGAGTCTGGGCACCCGAGCCCTTCATCTGGCCCGCTGCGCTCATTGTGGAGAGTGCTGATGGAGCGCTTGCCCTTGCCCAGGGGACTGACCGCGGCGGGTTTGACTAGCTCCCCTAGCGCCCTCATGGGGGCCTCCAAGGGGAACTTGCCCCTCAGCATGCCGGCCCAGGTCTTGGGGCGCCCATGCTCGGCTGCAACCTTGCGGCGGCGGGCGCGCGTGGCGAGCGCGCTGAGTCGTCTAGAATTTGGAGGCCCTTCCGAACAGCAGCTTCACGATGGACATGCTGGGCGGCACTGGCAGCAGGTGCCCGTTGTTAATGCCGCTGGAGAGCATAATCAACAACGCGATGGGCCTTCTGACGGGCATCTTGCCGATCGAAGATGGAATGCTCATCATTGACAGCCTGGGCGGCCTTGGCAGCAATCGCCGCCCGACGGCGTTCGTGCGAGCTCTCTGCGCGGAGTCTGGGCGCAAAGTCTCGCCGATCGACGACCCGAGCGCCAGGGCAGGGAGAGAGCGAGATCGACTCCGACGAGCAGTAAGAGCACGCATGGACAAGATCATGGACGGCGGAGGCATCGGAGCGTCGAGCACTGAGGTTTCTCTTTTCTTTCAGAATGACGAGTCGAGCCAGCGGCAGCACGTGGGCGCCCGTGCACCTGATTCGCACGGCGCGAAGCCCAGCGGGAAGATGGAGACGGCCACGGCCCATGCACCTGACTCGCATGGCGGGGCGCACGGCGGGAAGATGGTGACGGTGATTCCAGCAGCTGTTGGCGCGGCATTGGCAACTGGCGTACGCGATGAAGCAGTAGCTCAGACCTCAGAGAGTGGAATGATAATGAGATTCGACACACCAGAAGCAGCAGTGAACGACGCCTACCACGGCGAGCAGATGACGTGCAAGGCCTACTACCAGCGATGGAGATCTTTTGGGGCGACGATTTGGAACGGCACGAATATCTGGCCAAACGGCTTCGACGACGGCGCGAGGAGATACATGGAAGAAGTTTACCGAACCATGCCTGAGGAGTTCTACATCGAAACACAGCTGCCGGTGGTGACGCCCGAGAACTACGCGAGGTGGCTGAATCACATGGACATCGCACATGTTGACATCCATTAGCGGATGTCAGGCAGAGGTCGTCTCAGTCATCGTGCATCTACTCAAGGTCACCTGGTAGGCTTTCCCATATATTACATATATGGCTGGAGCATGGCAAGCACACACCATCAGAAAAACCTTCATCATCTTCGACGAGTTTGCAAGATATCAGATACCTTCTGGTCACCGACGTTTACGCCATGGTCAATAGCGAGCAGACATAAGGATGCAACGACTCTTCAGATGGAGCGAAGTTGGCAGACACCGACAACCAGATGTATGAACAAGGAAAACAGCGACTCCAAGAGCGACGATCAGCGACGCGCAGTGGAAAACCCGCACCATAGCGATTTCTGGGACAAGTCGGATTTCTCACTGACGGTCGACAGCGGTGTCGTGAAAACCTGCGTGACGGATCAGTGCGACTTCGGAGCCTCGAGCGAGCTGAACGAACCTGTCAGGAAACGGACTCGGCTGGACGCGACCTTTCCGTTAAGGGAATGCGCGAGGCATTGCAGGTGCAAGGTGGCACACGGACATCTATCTCACTGGCGCGGTAGACGGCATCAAGCGGACAGCCAAGGCAGCAATGTATCCCAGGAGCTTCTGCGACGGCATCATCAAGGACATCTTCCGTCTGGTTCGCGCCTGTGTCTATTGGGAATGCGAGCGTTGCAAGCTTGGCACGGAGACCGACAAAGAGCACACCTGGAAGCCAGGCAACTGCAAACTTGCACCAGCACCACCACCAGGACAGACAGCACTGAAGAAAAAGGCACCCGCGGCAGCACCATCAGAAGAGCAGCAATACGGTAACGATCCAGCAGTACCAGAGGCAGCGGCTTCACCGGCACTGGCTCCAGTCGAGCAGAAGATCAAGAGTGGCGAGGACGAGCCAGCGATTAAGATTAAGAAGGAGCAGGATGAGGACTCGCCAGCTATCAAGGAGGAGCGCGATGAGGACGAGCCAGGCACTAAACCATTGGAGTCTCTACCTCACGGCGGCGAACAACAGGTACCTCAGGCTCTTCCAGAGGTACAGGGCGCAAAGGTTGCTCCACCTCCAGCGCCTGCACCTCATGCTGCGGCTCGCCTCAAAAAGGAGAAGAAGGAAATCAAGCAGGAGCCCGTGACAGCCATGAAGAAATGGTACGATGTGAAGCCGAACTTCGATCTCAACAAGATGGTCACCAGGCTGAAGAAGACCACCGACAAGAACGAGCTCATCCGCTTTTTGCTGGGTTTCCACATCCGCTTCTGGCACGCGCCCGTGCCGGACATGATTGTATTTCCCAAAAGCGCGGAGTGTTGGACGAAGACCATCAGTGCGGTGATTGCTCTGGCTACACTGGCATTTCAATCTGCGGAGAACACGCGAGACCGATGACGAAGCTACAAGCAGGAATCACGGTACCTTTGCGATTTAACCATCGAGTTCAGCTTAACTTGTTCTTCATGTGGGACAAGACGTGGATCCTGATACAGAATCGACGAACTCTCGAGACATAAGGCGGCGGGCGTTGTTGCAGACAGAACACCGAAGGAGCTGTTGACGACCATCATGCGTGTCTGGATCCGCTATTTTGGGCCAGTGCAGATCATGATTCTCGACCAAGAAGGAGGCCTAGTCTCAGAGTTGGCGTCGAGGACCTGCGACGAGCTGAATATCAAGAGACGCTATGCTGACACCGACGATCATACTATGACTGGGCTCGTGGAGAGATGGATCCAGCTGATTCGTCGATGTGCCATGAAGCCAAAGAAGACATGCACGTTGCAGGGCTTTGAGGTCTCCGAGGTGAACTTGGTGCAGGAGGCCGCCATGGTTTCCAACAGCATGGTCAGCTACGGGGGCCAGACTGCACCACAGGTCGTGCTGGGCTTCACTCCAAGCGACTACTACGACCTGGAGGCGACCACGCTGGACTCGGTGCAGGGCGCGACCACGAGCTGCCCTGATCCGTTCGAGGCGGCAGTACGCCTTCGACTTCTCGCTAAGTCGGAGATGGCCAGGGAGATTGTGGAAGACAGGATCGCCAGGGCGAACCGCACTCGAGTACAGCAACATAGACCCGAGCAGGACTTGAAGCCTGGAGATAGCGAGGACGTCTACCGAATTCCCGAGCGGAAGGACCAGTCAGGCTGGCGCGGCCCGGCAGAGCTGGTCAAGATTACTGAAGGTACGGCAATTGTGGTGTGGAACGGAGTGCCCTACATCGTTCCAGTTCGATATCTGAGGAAGCACGCGGCCAACTTCATAGTATATCAGGTCGGCGACACCACATCATCAGAGGCGATGCTGATCGACACCTTCAGGAAGCTCATGGACATCGTCGATGGCAGCACATACGGACAGTTCACACGACTGGGCAAGACAATAAATCCGAATGGAAAGGTTGGGTGCTCGCCAGATGTCAAGACCTTGATCGCCATCCAACCTTGGAAGCTGTGCATGTTGACCTACCAACCACTATTTCAACTCAAGAGCTTGGATGGAGTCTTGTAAGGCACCTCTCTGTGGCGAGTACCGGCACTGCACGGAGTTCGATATGGTCTCATTGTACTCTGGGAGCGCAGCGATCACTCCAAGTACGTGGCCTGAAAGATAGATCCCAGCAAAGGCGTCGTGATCAACAACCTGAGCGAGATCAATTGGGAGAACGCATCTTTTCTCGTTTTCTACACACTACCAACTCAGACTGACCCTTTCCTGGACGAACACATGCCGCGGAACATTGACGACATATCTCGCATCGATTCCGCTCCAGAATCAGTCATCGATGTCGACCGCGACGCGGCAGAAATGATCCGCCTGATTCCCGACACGGACGACTGGATGTCTGATCTGGAGGCCGCGATGCTCGACGAGACAGTTAGTCACGACAAGACGATGCTGGACCAGACACAGGTGATACAGCACCCGGCGGAGGTTATCAAGCCCATCGCTCGCGACACTCAAGCAGTGGTTCCTGAACCACAGACGGCGGACCCTCGCACGAGACCTTGGGATCCTGGACATCAGCCACAGCATGCAGTACCTCCTCCGAGGCTTGGTGGATCTAGAGCGGGAGCTCCACTGGCACCTCCAGCGGCAGCTCAACTGGCGGCGGCACTTGCACCGGCGCGAAGTCCACGAGAACCACCACGAGCACAGCTGATACCAGCGGCACCTCCTGCGTTACCAGTACACGGACAGACACCGCGACAGGCACCTCATGCACAGCAAGTACCTCAGCATCCTCAACCTCCACGGCATGAACCAGGAGCTGTACGGGGCAATGAGGATATCAGGAGTGTGCCCATACCAGACCACAGCATGGGCGATGCAATGGTCCTCACGAGAGAACTCGATCGCGTTCTGGAACGAGCTGGAGTGCAAGAACGGACAAGTGCACCGACTGCAGCAGCACCGACAGCAGCAGCACCGACAGCGGCGGAACCCACACGGACAGATTCAGCACCAGCGACGGCAACTCAGACAAAGTCGGCAGCATAAGATCGGCCTGAACCTCATGGACCGCCTGCTGCCCTGGAGCCGACCAATCCGGCTCTGGATCTCACGAAAGACCTCAGCAAGCTTCTCGACGAAGGACTGAACGCAAAAAGCCGTTGAACGACATTCTGGAGCAGCCGATCGTGGAAGGAGAGAAGCGCAGCAACACAGCGCTTGGAGATCATGTCGACACGAGCCTCTTGCCAGAGACTCAGCGACGACGACTTGATGACAGTGATGAGCGGATCGAGCACAATCGAGATGATCACGGCCGTATACCCCTACAGGATGCAAGACCACAAGCCCAAGGCGGACAACCTCCTTCTCAAGACGCTGAACGACGTGACGAGATCCAACCAAAACCACATGGCCTACCTGCAGCCTTGGAACCAGCTGATCCGGCCATTGATCCGACGGGCGATCTCGAGCGCATCTTGGATGAATCATCTCAACAGCATGAGGATCCGCATCCAATTCAAGACGGAGATCTCTTTTCCAGGCACAACGTGCTGCACAGTGCGATCGAGTATGACGACAATGACATAGAAACGATAAACGACATCAAGGAAGCATGTCTCGACGACCTCATCGCGACGATGATTGAGGAACACCATCGAGCGGACGCCTACATCACGAGCCTGCAAGAGGGCGATTTACCATGGAATGCGACTGAAGCTCTTTGGACATTCAAAGGACCTTGGCGACAGAGCAGCTGCTTTCTCTTTTGTCTTCGGACGGGCGAAATGCAGTGCCATATCGGAGCCAAGGAGTCGGACACGTTAACCGAAGAGGACATCCTGACTCACTGGAAGAAGGTCGAAGAGGCAGACTTGCAGGAGTTGGCGGCATTCGTTGACCACAAGGTCTTTGCCTGCCGAGCCAGGCGATCTCTCTCGAGCACGAACGTTATCGACGCCGTGTGGGTCAGGAAGTGGAAGTACGACGCCAACTCCAAGGAGTGGATTGTGAAGAGCAGATTGTGCGGGCGAGGCTTCCTTGGCAAACAGAAGCACGAGATACAGCGACACTCGAGTACTGCCAGCAGGCTCAGCCAGAAGTTGATTGTCTCGACGGCGCAGACGCATCCAGAGTTTGAGCTCGAGAGCTGGGACATCAGCACGGCTTTTCTGCAGGGCCTCAGCTTCGACGAGATCCGTCGTCGTTCCAGGGAGCAAAATCAACTGTGAGACGGTGCGAAAGGTCTACCTGCTTCCGCCGAGCAACGTTTGGAGATTGCTGGACATGCTGCCCGGCAGCGAGATCCACGTGAAGAGCTGGGACATCAAAATGTTCATCCTGGAGCTTCTCAAACCTATGTATGGGCTGGTTGATGCACCACATATGTGGCAGGTTGCTCTTTCTCTATATCTGGTGCACGTTCTTCGAGCACGAGTTAGTCTATGGGATGAGAACTTCGTCTACTGGACCTACGACGACCTACCCGATCGAGAACGTGACGCGCATGAGGAGGAGAAGGCGACAGATGGAGTTCAAGCAGCTCTCTCGATACACGTGGACGACTTGTTGGTGGCAGATCAAGCCAGGATTCAGACCTATTGTATCAAGCTTCTGGGGGCCAAGTTCGGAGCAGTGAAGAGGCAGCAGTTACCGTTCACACATAACGGCGCGCAGTGCACGAGATTGGCCAATGGAACGGTATTGCTGCAACAGGTCGACCATCTTCAAAAGATAGCTTTCTGCAAGATTCCCGACGGGCATGACGAGAATATGGTGACTGGACAGTATGCACATGGCTTTAGGAGTATTCTTACACCGATGCTGTTTTTGTGCCAGCGTAACATTCGCATCATGACAGAGGCGACGCAACTGCAAGGATTTAATAACGAGCCGAAGATTTGTCCACCTCAAGCGAGCGAATGAACTACCTAAGCGAGCACGACAAGATACCTCATTGGTTGGACTGCACTACCCGAAGATGATGCCACCCTTTTGCCTGAGAGCGATAGGCGACGCCAATCATACGACGATGACTTCAGTGTATCCTCAGGGGGGCCAGTTCGCGCTTCTCATGGAAGACAGAAGTCTGACGATCAATGACGACCACACTCTGACTCCGGCGAGCGTGGCAGCGATATCAAGTAACTGTCACATCCTGATGGCAATAAGTAGCAAGGCGAAGAAGGTGGTACACTCGACTTCGATGGGCGAGACGGCAGAAGATAACAGTTCTGATCGACATGAACTTGAATGGTCAGCGCATCGTACCCATCGACCATTTGACGGATTGCAAGGACATGTTCGAGTTAGTGACCGGCCTAGAAAAAGGGTAAACAGCAGCGGGTGGCAGTCATGGCGCTCAAAGAGGAAAGGATGTCAGGCAGAATGCGTTACAGTATGCACATCCCCACAGATGTGATGATCGCCGACGCGCTGACGAATCCTGGAGTTTTTCATCAGCTGATGTTGTTGTTGATGACAGGAAGGGCCATATTCACAGCGAACAAGAAAGTGATCAACTGTAAGCGAATTTACATCGACCTGAGAGTTTCACGGAAAGCGACCTCGAGAATGTACAGCGTTTTTGATACTCTTTGCTGAGACGAGTATGGCAGGTGGCAGATGACCGAGAGCGACCTCTGCAGCGGTGGCTGGACATGTATGACATTTCTTCTATGCATGAGCTGATCTTTGGAGATGGATGTCTTCCACTTCTTCGGCCACGACTGGACCGACGACCGCGACTGGGTCGAGTTCCGCATCAATGTCGTGTATGAGGCCCGCTCTGCTGGCCAGCTCGTGCTTTATCGTTTTCGCCCCGGCTTGGAAGATCTGGAGTAGCTAGATCCAATAGAGTAGAATGAGGTTGATAGTTTAGATGTACTCTAGGGTTTGACTAAGATCAAGTGTAGTATCTGTTCAGAGGTAGAATGATGTACAGCGGTGTAGCAGCGACAGTGATGACCCGACGTAATCATATCAGTGCTCAGGGATTTGCGCACTAAACAATCCAGTCCCAGGATGGAGCGGCGGCGGGGGCCAGCCTCGCCGCGCTCCCCGGCGCGCAAGGGCGCCGTGAGGTTGGGGCGGCGGCGGGTGCCGCGGCCCCACGGCACCTCCCGCCGCGCGGGGGGCGCCGCGGGGCGGCGGCGGGTGCCAGCCTCACGGTGCCCCTGGGCGCGGCGGAGGGGCGCCGTGAGGTTGGGGCGGCGGCGCCGCGGGGGCCAGCCTCGCGGCGCCCCCCGACTCGCAGGGGCACTGCGAGGTTGGGGCGGCGGCGGGGGCCAGCCTCGCGGCGGCCCCTGGCGCGCAAGGGCAACGCGAGGTTGGGGCGGCGGCGGAGGCCAGCCTCACGGTGCCCCCCGCCGAGAAGGGGGCACCGCGAGGTTGGGGCGGCGGCGGGCCAGCCTCAGGGCACCCCCCTGCGCGGCGGAAGGTGCTGCGAAGTTGGGGCGGCGGCGGGGCCAGCCTCGCGGCGGCCCCTGGCGCGCAAGGGCAACGCGAGGTTGGGGCGGCGACGGGGGCAACCTCGCGGCGCCCCCGCCGCGCGGAAGGGGCGGGGGCCAGCCTCGCGGGGCCCGCGCGACCCAGCGCCACTCTGCCAGATGGGGTCAAGTATGGTATCCTGCCCTCAACGGCCAGATCTACCCTGTGACCGTTCGGCAGAAGTAAGTAAGGTCGCCGGCCAGCTGGCCAGACGAGACTGAAGCCGTGATCCGCGCATCGCTCTCCTACTGAGATCACCGCCGGTATTTCCGGCATGACTAATGCTTCGAAGTTCCCATCCCGAAAAATTGGGCGCGCGACGCAAACTGAACCGAGGGCCCTCGAATAACCCCCGACAGTGTTCAGGGCAATCGGATCTTCCGCCCGTTTTATCACGCCCATTGCGCCTGCAGCCCGAACGAACCTCTCAGCAGCGAGATTGTACACGCAGCCTGTGTCGACTATGAACCGAAGCGTTCCAAGGTGCATGGGCGCTTTCCCTCTGCGCCCCGCGGCGGCTGAGCCGCCTGGGATAGCATCCTCCTTCCCTCAGACTCTAACCAAAGATGCCAAACTTCATCGGCTAGATCACCCCTTAGTGATGCCCTCCAGTCAGTTTGCATGATTCGGTATTCTTGTTTGGGGAACTTCCATCTATCGTCTATGCTCGACGGCAACTCTTTTGGGCTGCGGCGACGCACCTTCCGTCGATTGACGGTGGGTTCCCGAATCCAGGGGTGGAGCTGAACACTAAGTCCGCGCCGAGCCGCCTGCGCGCGCGTGACAACTTTTCGGCGGGGGCTCGTCGCAAAACATTGCCATGCCCCCCCCTAGGAAGAGGATGCAGTTGAACGAGGATAGCGGCAAGTTTAGGTCAGCTTCTCCTTGCGCTCTTGCTGTATTTGGGGAGCTGGAACAACTCCCTCGGGCAAATCGATGAAAATCTAAACATGTGCATCATGTGACTCAACCGTTAACGGATGATCATTCGA